TGCATGTATGCCTTTGTTTCTACATCCTTTCCCCTCTTGGCTGCTATACCAAGATTAATCCCAGAAAGGGATTACAGGAAAAAAACGTGTAGTTTTGATAGATATTGTCAAATGGATCTCTGTAAAAGTGGTACCAATTTTCACTCCCACCAGCAAATACAAGGTTTTTGCCAACCTAAGATACAAGGTCCTGGTCATAAATTAATAATCAAAGATCATTTAAACAGTGGTCACCAGTAGATTTCTGTTTAAAAAGACCTTTGGTATCCATTACATTAAAATAATAGCTAATATTTCTCGAGCACTTAACTATATATTAGAGATTTTATTTTTGAGACAAGGTCTCACTATGAAGTTCAGGCTGGCCTTGAACTCGTACCCCAGGCTGGCCTTGAGTTTACAGAGATCCTCTTGCCGCAGCCTCCTGAATGCTGGGAGTAAAGGCATGTGTCACTACCCCTAGATATTATAGATGCATGGTGTAGATTTTGGCAGCTTTGAGCCAAGTTACTGAATCCAAAACTTGTCTCCTATAATTCCTTATCTATAAAACGAGGAGGATTGCAGTAGCTACTGATGTGGGTAGGCAGTGCTACACTAGCACTGTAAAGTGCCTAAAACAGTATACGCACGTATGAAGACCCAATAAATGTGTTTGCAATGATTGCAGTACATTTCTATCAGGCAGGTTGTATTGTTCCCATTTTATCTAGAAATAAACTGAAGTACAGAGAGATTGAGTGTAGACCCAGGATTTTGATAATGGAGTTGGTACACTTGATATTGTCTAATTTGACCTTGGTGGACTCTGATGTTCAGTCAGCATCCCCAGCTTGTGCGGCGTGGTGTTGTAAATGGTAAGAACCAGTGAGGACGTGAGTGGGAGGAAGCACCTAAGTATACATGGGCCTGGCTTCATGGCAAGGTTGTCATGCGCTGGTCTGCAAGAAATGAACTGGGGGAGGGGGGCCTTGGTGAGCCAGGGTCTCGCTGTGCATGCAGCTCAGGCTGTCCTTGAATTCACTGTGCAGCACAGGCAGCCTCAAACTCTCAGTGATTTCCTGCCTCAGTTTCCTGAGAGCTGGAATTATAGATAAACAACACTGTGCCTAGAAATATTAATGATTTCTAAATAAGGGACCCCTCAGTTTTATTTTTTCCCTGTTTTATTTTGCACTCGGCATTACAAATTATATAGTCAATCCGGTGACGTGTCAGATGTGTATTATAATGTTCACTGAGACAATGTGCAGCCTGCAGTTATTTATATATATAGTATATAATGTACGTTATATGACATATATAACTGGTTTTTTATGAGCAGAATATATTTATTGAGAGAAAAAAGCTCCTGTCCTGAGAGAGGGACAGGAGGGGGGGCCCGAGCGGGTAGTTCCCCCCCCAGGAAGTTGTCTCTTGCAGGCACTTTCATAGAGGAAAACCATGCAGTGAAGCTGGTCTAAGGTGGCGGAAAACATGGGAACTCACTTAGTTGGGCATGAGGTGGGGCAAAACTATGGTCAACCAATGAGATTACAAGCACCATTGCTCAGGTAAAATTGATTAAATCCAGTATCAAATGGGAAAGCGAGTCACGTAAGCAAAACTGTATGAGGCAAAGCATGAACAATTATGAGCAATGGGCAAAGACATATTAACATTTGAAACATAAATTTGTTACCTAAGCAAGTCCCAATTCAGAATTTATGAAAGAAAAGCAAACTCATACCTCCGTCCAATGATCTCGGTGGAACCTCCAAAATGATACAGGGAGAAAAACTGGTCTCGGGTGGGTGACCTCCAAATGACATAGAGAAAAAATGATCTCTGGACTTGACCTGCACAAGTTTGTATTCTCTAAAGCCAAAGAATGAATTTTAGGAACAAACGGAGGTTATGAGCAGAATATATTTATTGAGAGAAAGAACGCTCCTGTCCCGAGAGAGGGACAGGAGGGGGGGCCGTGCAGGTAGTTCCCCCCATAACTATTTATTATAAGCAGAATTTCATAGAGCTGATTCTCACAGTATGGGTTCATATCGTGTAGTCTCTATATGATTGCAGTTAATCAATGAGTGTCGTTCAGACTTAAATGTTGGGTGCTATTTTTTTTTATGTTACGCAAAAGCCAAATAAAACCATTAAGGTACATGGGACTTGACTAGTTTGTTAATGCTACGAATGACAAACTTGCTGAACTGGATAATAATTTTCCAACACTGGAAGGAGGATTCCTCCAAATGTTGGTGCTCTTCACGATGTACAGAGCTGATGCACTTTTAGTTCCATCTACTTTATAAACATTTTCTCTGCCACTGTCTCAAGTCTAGACAATGTTCGGGCATTTGCTGATTTGCTGGCTGTAAATACTTCTCCTGTCATGGTGGATTTCCACCTACTGAGGGATACTGCTGAATGAAAAGGTAAGAAGCAAAGAGCGTATCTTTGTGGGATTCAGACAGCTCTCAGATTTGGATGGCTGAATTTATGATTTTTGTATGTATTTGGTACAGGGTCTCACTATGCATGCTTGGTCTTGGTGGTGGGCCCGGTGTGCCTAGGATGGGGCCAACACCCCATGTGTACCTGGGAATTGAACCCAGGTCCTTGCTCTTGCCTAGCTATCTCTGAGACCATTTATTTTATTTTTATTATTTAAAAAAATTTTGATCGGCTATAGATTTTATTATTATTATTAATGTATTTGGTACAGGGCCTCACTATGCAGCTCAGACTCACTATGATCCTCCTGATTCCAGCCTACTCAGCGCTGAGATTATCAGTGTGGGCCACCACACCCGAACTCAGTCACCGGCTCAGTGCACCTGGTGTCAGGGCTGGCACCACACCTGGTGTCAGGGATCCAACCCTGGTCCCTGTGCTTGCCTAAGCTGGCACTTAGTCCACAGAGCTATCTTGCCAGCCCTTGCTATAGTTTTTTTTTTAAATCTTTTATTTGTTTATTTATTTATTTGGTACAGGATCTGGCTATTCATAGTGATCCTCCTGTCTCATCCTCCCCAACTCTGGGATTACAGGTGTGTGCCACCATGCCCACTTTCGGTGGCCAGCTCAGCACTTGGCTGGCACAACCTGTGCAATATCAGGGATCAAATCCCTGTCCTTATGCTTGCCAGGCAGGTGAACTATCTCCCTGGCCCCCGATTTATGATTTTTAAAATTTTGCATTGGTGCACAACCCACACAACTATTTTGTTTTTCATTTTCACTGTACTATAAATTATATGAGCCATTTAACACTTTATGATAAGATAGATTTGGGGTTGGATGATTTTGCCTACTTGCTCTGAGCACCTTTAAGACAGACAAGGCTGGGGGCCAGGGAGACGGCTCAGTAGAATAAGCGCTTCCCTGGCAAGCCCAAGGACCTGGGTTCAATCCCCAGTTAGGCACGGCTACATATTTTTTTTTTTTTTGCGGAACCGGGGATTGAACTCAGATTCTTGCATTTGCCAGTCAACCGCTTATCCTACTGAGCCATCTCCCCGGCCCCATGGCTACATATTAATGCATTTCATGTACAATATTTTCATTGTGGGATGGACTTACTGTGATAACCTCCCCCCCCAAAGCCTGTATTTCCAGAGGCAGATTAAACAGACATAATCTCAATAGTCTTTGCACACTATAAGGGCTCAATAACTAACTGCTGCATGAATAAATTAGTGAATTCCAACCAATAGTGGTGCTTGCTGTAATCCCAGCACTCTGGATAGCTGAGGCAGGAGGATCACAAGTT